GAGCGGTAGAACCAAGACTGATCCTGCCTCCCAGGAATACAAGCATCTCTAGAACAAAATTACAAGGAAAGGATAATTAAAGAGCACTTTTTAAATAAGAATGTAATCAGAGTAGCACATAACAGGATAACGATATCAAGAATATAATTATTAAATAGTTCTGTCAAAAATGCTTATTAACTATCTATACAACAGGAGAGGCTGATCTTTCACAGTAGCGTAACATTTTAATTCCTGACAAAATGACTGAAATAGTACTAAGAAATCATTCATATAGGCAGATGCTGATTTGGAATGGGAATAGAGGACTGTGCTTAATCAGAAGCGGCTGTCATTAAGACATTTAGTAAGAAATTACTTCCCAGTTTTCTTCTCAACCTCTACATATGACTGATGCAACAGAAGTTTGTGCATAGCCTAATGTTTGGTGGAAGTTATATACATCAGGGATCGAGAGAGGTTGTGGTCTCCACACTGAAGAGTTACTAAAAATTCAGCTGGACACCTTTATAACTAGGAATGGGTAGAGGTGTCCTTTTGTCATAAAAATCCTGTTGATTTGAGAAACCAGGTTTTGTTCAGCTAGGCAAAGACAGATTTCTCATGACAGAAAAGGCAGCAAGAAAGGGTTAAGGGCTCCCAACTCTTTGGGCACTGCCTCTAGAGGTCCTATACTCACCCTGTCCACAACCCGCTGAAGCTGTGGAAGTGTACTGACACTGCTCTACGGGCAAGCCCATAAGCTTCATCCTGGTTCAGCTGGGGATCAGGGCTGCACTCCTCTAGTTACTTGTTCACCATTTCACTTACTGAAATAGAGTCTAAAAAGTTCTGAAGAAACACACACCAAAGCCTGACTGCTGAAAGGATTAAATGTCACAGACAGAATAACTTTTTGAGTAATAATCCTGAAAACTCTACTGTTCCATCAGCTGTTTAACTTCCTGCCCCCCAACACGCAGTAGATATTAAGAGAAGGAATTAAGTTTTTATATCCTACAGGCCATCTCCAAACACACGTTACCTATGTAAAGCAAACATTAGTTATGCCTTAAGAGGCAAATTGGGTCTGCTTCCCTATCATAGGGAATTTAAGATCTTGAAATAGTAGGAAACTTTATAGGTCTTGCATATACATTATCACAGAAATATTTCAAAAGAAACTGATCAGAGGCATTTGAGACCACTCTGCAAACCTCGTCCTCCATCCTCGTGCTTGCTTTACCGACCACACACAAATGCAGCGGAAGAAACAACTTAAAATCATTTCTGTGAGTTGAACAGGAATGCTCACATAATCACTGGAAATGCTCTTAATTGGTGTGGCTCAGTGGTGCATTTCAGAGCCGTTAGATCTTCTGCTGCTGTGGAACTCTTTTCATGTCCTGGCAATCACAGTCCAGCCAGCAGTTTGTTTATCATATTCAGTATGAGTTTCCGGATCTCCAACAACGTGGTATTTACTCCGAGGCAGGGAAGACTGCAGTAATCCAATAAGTTCTCATTAGCCTAAAATGCAGAAACATCTGCCGGGGTCATGAGCTGCTTACCGGCTGCTGATGAGCAAAGACTCCGCTCCATTTGAAGCTAGTGTGAACAAAGAATTGTAGGGCTGGGGGGCTGCGCTGAAGAGACAAACGGGCCTGGGTTGTCTCCTGGGCTGCGGCTCCACCACAGGGCACCACAGGCAGAGGGATGCTCCCTTACGCTGACCCCTGGTGACCCTATCGCAGAGAGCACAGGAATGACAGCAAAAAATGCTTTGACTCAGCCCTCCTGAGCTGGCGGTCAAAAGTCAGGCGACACCAGTGTAACTGAACAGAACGTGGTCAGAGCCCCCCAAGAAACACCAGAATCCAGGCAGTGCAATCTGTGCAGCGCAATCCTAGCTTAAAATGATCTTTGCCAATTGTTTTTTTAGACAATTAAAAGAATTTTGCTGGGGACAAATATGGTGCTCTTCCCACCCAGGCTCTCAGGCCTCGCTAGCTCGTTTCACAATTGCTTTCAGTTTTTGGAAGAGGGAAAAAACCTCCCCCCCACCCCCCCGTAAAAAAAAGCACCTTAGGACACATGAATGAACAACTGGTTATAAGAACTTCTGGCCTAAAAGATGAATATTTAGGTACATAGGCAGTACGTACTGCCCAAGTTCTGACAGAACGAAACTAAAACTACATGGATACAAGTTACAGAATGCAGAACATTATAAATGCAGAACATTATAAATCCTAGGTAAAAAAAAACAAAACAAAAAAACAAAACCAGATTGATAACCTGAATAAAAAGAGCCCTTAAGTTGTTTAGGGTTCCAACCGGTTCTGAGCAAGTTGTTTAGGGTTCCAACCGGTTCTGAGCATGTGACACTGTCAGAAAATAAGTGGAAAATACAAAATAAGTGTTGTCACATCTGCTTAGCTCCTGCTCCAGTGATTCTGCAGTTCTTTGTTGTTGTTTGTACAGTGTTAAATATGGCAGCATCTAATTCTGCAGCCGTTTCAAGGTGGAGGAGCCTAAAACAGCAAAGAGCCAAAACAGAACCACTCAGAAAGAATACTCAGGAAAATCAAGATGGAAAAGTCTCAGCTCAAAATGGTTTAAAACTCTTCCCTGGAAAGGCTGAGCTGCTTTAGCTAACATTTGCTCTACCATTTGCACGAAGAATTACACAAGCATTCAATTTAAGGAAAAGGATGGCCAGAACGCTCAGGTCAACGCCTACGGTTCTTCTGAAACAATAACTACACATCCCCAAGCACTTCAGTGTTTTGTACATGCAGCGAGTGGCCTCTAGCTCCGGGACTCCCACTGCCTTGCTGTAGACAGTGACTGCCACCTGGAGCAGCCAGGGGGAACTGCTGCCCCACAAGATGTGGAGCCTCTAACGGTGATCACAGCAGGCAGAACCTTTCTCTGCCACCCGTCTTCAGAGGAGAGGACTAACAGCACTTCATTTTTAGTGAAAATCTGTATTGCCATCTGTTGCTTCAGTAACATTTGGGTAGATAAACACACACACACTAGTGTCTCAATGGTAGAAAGTCCCCTGACTGAAGGGGATGGCTTTAATCTAAAAGTATTTCTTAAAAAAATATTTTTTTTGGACCAGCAATGAGGTCTATCATCAAGAAATCCTAGGAAAGACACTGTCTTGTGTCTGTGCAGAGGCATAATTACCAAGACACTATAAACTCGATTTTCATTTCTTCCCTCCTCCCTTGTATTTAAGACGACCCCTCTTAACTTTGAGTCTCGGAATGACGCACTTAGGATAAGCAGGTGAAAGGCATGAGGACACACATCCTGGCAATTATCCAAACCTAGGAAAAACAGTTGTTTGATCAGCAGTTTCATCATACAAGAGCCGTTCTACCGACATCTCCATCCACCAAAATAAAGACCACTACCTTGCAGCTAACCCATGACTGCTTAGCAGAGATCCCCATCCAGTGGCCAACTTCATCGGTGCAGCTCATGTTCCTGGCCCAGAGCATGATCCTGCTGCGTGCAGCACCTACAACTCACAGCCTGAATGGCATCACACGCAGGTGACCTGTCAGCTGCAGATCACCTAACATGTTTGAGGAAGAAGAAATAACAGATGAACATCTTAAAACAACTCATTGCTCTCTCACTGGATAAGTTGCTGTGAAAAAAATGCCCCTGATATTGTACATAAGGAGAGTCTTAATATCGACTTCTTATCCAGTGCACTGCATGTCTGACTGATCCAGTTACTACAGCTTAATTTACTCCTAATTTTTAACAAAAGGAGACAAGTATCTAGTTAGACCCTTAGTAATACCAGAATAGCACTTCAAGAATTGCAAGGAGAATGGTCCAGGCATTTTTTGAGCAGGTCAAAAAGCTCTATAGACACAGCTTAAGCTGGAAATGTAACATTAAGCAGACAACACAAAGCAAAGCTTTTGAAAAACCACCACAGAAAGAGGTTCCACAGGTAAAAAAAAAACCCACAGGATACAGCACGTGTTTCAGAGCGAAATGCATTCCATGCTCAAAAATGGAAAGTACATTGAAAAAACCTGCCACACCTGGCACGTATGTTCACAACAGGCACTTACTCAGTAGTCAGGTTGGAGGTTTCTCTCCACATTCACACTCTTCTGGCCTCAGCACTTTGGGTGCCAGTGGGTCCTGGCTTGCCTTTGGGACTGGTTAGTGCCTGTAAGTCCATCACTGCATTTATTGTGTAGAATTAGCCCTACATAAGCCCAGGTGGAAACAAAAGCTTCTGTAGGGGATCAGTGAAGATATTCAGACATGAAGGCTATTGATACAGCAGTGGAAAACAGTCTTTATTATTAAAAAGAATAAAGTCCTTAAAGAGAAGTTGTCAGTTTAATACAAATTTATGACTTCAATAATGTGTTTCCAAGACAATTAGGCAACAAGTTATGGAAACTTTCCACTTGTTACAAGTAACCAGGCTCCTTCCAAGCATCAGCCTCATTATTTGCCACCCACGTAGCTTTTCCTCTCAGCAAACATAGAAATAATGGACAATTAAGAGTTCCTCCAGAAGCTGTTCACTGAGTGACCAATGATCATGCTGTACATTCCTACAGATCCTCCTGATGAGATCAGGAAAAGCACCCTACCACCTACACAACTCCACATCTATATTCTGCTATGCTGCCCTCTAAGAACACTGCTTGGGAAAGAGATGCAAACCACTGTGCTTGAAGCCAGTTCCACGAAAGTAAAACCAGAAGTTTAGGAACACAGAGGTCACATTTGCCAAGAATAACATTTCTTATTATTTACCTTTCAGTATTGTCAAGGCAGAAGGTGATGAGAAAGGAGTCACAGAAATTCATGTTAAAAAAAGATGACTCCTTATGGGACAATATGCAGAAGAAAACTCCTTTTCTTACTAAGCCGCTGGTTTCATATTCTGGTGTAACTGAAAATTTGGACAAGTTACACATTCATACAAGAAGAATGTTGGCCCTACATCAGTAAAACAATACACAAACTTAGTTGAAGTACCAGTGTTTTACAACGTCTAGTCCATGATTCTCTTCACATATTCTTTGGTTATGCAGAGAAACTTCTTTACTGACTTCGAATGACAGGTTCTGCACTTCTGTGAAGCTCCTGGAACAAATGAAGCAACTAAATCAGTTACTCTGGAAGATAATAACTTCTGATTAACCCCAAAGGCCCACCTGGATACTCGCATCATTCTCCTACTATGGAGGCACCAGAAGAAAAAATGTAAAATGTGAATTTTCTTCCCAAAGGCTAGAATTTGGAGGAGGGGCAGTTTGCAGGAGGGGGAGATGCATGGCTTTATGGCCTAGCAATCTTCAAAGATTTTAGCTGTAATCTCCTCCAGGGAAATAAAAGAATGAAAGAAGGAAATTTATCCTGCTTTATCTTCCTCATGCTCTCAGCGATACTTTGTGTTTGTTGACACAACATTTGAGGAAATAAACCTTTTCTGCAGTCCTTGTGCCCCCCAAGGATGATATATTTCCATGGTTATCACTTAAGGCACAGCGCTTCCCGTTTGCTTTTCTGTCTCCTGGAGTTCTCCCCTCTCCTACATATTTGCACTTTACCAAGGCTATTCTTGCTCACTGAACTTCTCAGCTGAAGTGCCAGAGGACGGCACACTGAAGTAGTTCACTTCGACTGCACAAACAAAAAACCCCAAACATCTTTTCTTTGGCTGTAGGTGGAGCCAGGACAGAAATACAGATGTTTGTATACAGACAGAATTAAACTTAGTGCTACATCCTCTCAAAGAATGCTCCTCCAGTATACATCCTGGATATATCCTGGCAAGACTATAGATTTTCCTCTGAACATTTAGCCAACGAGTCTTTTCACCTGGTTGTTGTAAATACCTTTGAAGCTCTTTATCCAGTTTCTGAGAAACTTCTTTAAGATCCTTCAGTACATTAAATGCTTTTGCACTTTCTTCCAAGGAGCTTGGCATAACTTCTGCCAGAAGCTCCTGTGTGATAGTTAACTGCTTCTGCAGCTCATCTACAACATGACATGTTAAAGAGATTATTCAAAAATGCATGCAATGGCATCAGTTAATACAAGATTACTCAATAGCTGCCATACCCACAGAAAACAGGTGAACCAGACGATGGAAACTATTGTTCAGCTTTCACAAATTTTTCTCACTATGAGAAAACTGTGAAAGCCAGATTATTTTTAGCTATGAAGACTAACACCAGCAACAGGCTATTAAAATCGCTAATCAAGCTCTCAGAGGATGTCAAAGGTTTTTACAAGACAAATGCAGGAGAAAAAGCAAGTTTTAAACCCAAAATTCCCTGGTCATTTACATCTACTGCTATCAGCATGCACCCCCAACACGAAATTTATCCAGTCCTCTCCTTCAGCATTCACAAACCATACGTATTTATTTCCTTTCAAGCCTACTTACAAGAATTCCAAATCCTTCAATAAACCTTTTTCATTTGTTTCAAAGTGTAAGCAAGAATCTAATCTCTTGCAGACCAGAAGTTTAAAACATGTATTTTGTATTGAAGTCTGTACAAAACATTACAAGTACTAATTTATTAAACAAACATTCTCTGATTCAAGACATCACACAATATATTTAAGCTCTCGTTCTACAGGAAACGTGAGCCAGTCTCTTCACGCGACACTCTCCCTGAAACACAGGAACAGATCACAGTATTTCTACAACTCTACAACTTTCTTACCTGTTAGGAAAAAGAAAGGAGGAGGAATGCCAAGAATACAGTGAAAAGATACAGAAAATTGCTCAAGAAAGTGTGTATGAAAACTGCCCTAGTTTAGAAAGTTATTTTTTTTTCCTGTTGCAAGATAAAAAACTTGGTCAAGTTCAGTTTACAGGTTAAATGGAGACAAGAATTATTCACAGCAAAACATGTGACTCATGTCGCAGCCCAGCGTCCACAAAAGCTCTAAGAGCACACAAAATTCCTCCAGTGGCCACAGATAGATCCAGCAATTACAATGCAGGAATTTTAGCACGCCAAAACCCACTATTTTTGAAAATAAATGTGATTAAAAAAATTTTCATACCAAGGTACGTTAGTACATCTCCTTCTATGTGAATATTCTTTATGGGTAATTGATGTCTAGTGGCATCCAGGGAAACTGCAAAGCTTTTATATTGGTCTTTAAACTGTTCACAAACAGGAACAAGGGGAGAAAGCACTTCCATCTGAAAGAGACACACGATGAACCAACACGTCTTCAAAGGCAGCTGTTTTGTTAGTACAGACCTGGCACAACACAGAAAAATAATTTATAAAAAAACCCAAGTACCACTCTGAAATGCTTGCTGGCAGAAGGATTCGGGAAGTTTGTGGTACGATACTCCTACCATGCTGTTTAAGGTTTCCTCTACCTCCCCGAAACGCCTAGGTCAACACCGGTTTCTTTGTTACTGCAGCTCAGGGATATCAGCCACGTAGCAGGCAAAGGGTTCTATATACGATACTTGGACTGCAGTTAACAGGTATTCATCAGAAGACAAAAGTCTTGTTTAATTTTTGCAATGCGTATTTGTTAAAAGCAAACATAGGCTCAGTTTTGATAACTAATTATTCAAAATGTACCACCTTTTAATTTGACACAACAGAACAAAATACTGAAAAAGAGGGGAGGGTTTAGCTTCCAAGATCACCTGTTATCAAGAAACTTGCCTTCTTACAACCAGGCCAGACCTGCCACTGTCTAGCATACAAAACTACGAGAGAAGAACAGCAGATTTGCACTTCTCACCTAAGGGTTAGTCAGCATCTCAGCTCCAGCCATAACCATGGCTGTGTAACTGCAGGATGTTCACGTGGTTTAAGGTACTTGCAGCTCCTGTGCATCAACTGCAAACTGCTCTGGCAGCCGGCGCACTACTGCTGCCTCTCGCCCAACAGCTCTAACTTCTCCCGGCCTGTCCCCGAGGGACAACAACAAAGTGACATGTGCTGAGGTTACTAGAGAGCGTCATGTGCCACAACAGGGAGTAGATACTTATTTTAAGATGCACAAAAGTGTACCCCAGCAGGCCACAGGACTACTTCACAAGTGAACTTCTTTAAATATAGAAGCATAGTTTCTAACAAAGCTGACCTGTTTGTCCAACGCATCATCAAGTTTCTGCTCTCTCTCTTTGAGTAGAATTTCATGCTTCAACTCGCAGAGCTTCTTCTGTTGTCTCTCCTTTTCTTCACACAACATTAACAAGTTTTTTTCCGCTTTCTCCTCCAGCTCAGCAAGATTTTTTCCTGCCTGTTACATCCAAAAAATATTCCCAGCTGAGGTCATGCTACATCTACATAATTAACATATTCCGAATAAACAAATGTAAGCATCAGGCCAGGTCAGAGAGCTTCAATTAATGAATCAGAGACCTCATGCAATAAGCACAGCACATTGTACTTAAAGCCCCCCCTCAATATTCCTCCTCTGCTATGTATTTTTCCTCCCTGCTAATATTTTTTGTAAAGGCAAAATATACATTTACAGCACTGAGTGAGCAAAGCCCCTGCTACAACCTTGAACTCCAATCACTCTCACTCTCAGTTCTTCTCACAGCTTCTGCATACCCCCACCTCATGAAGAACCAGCACCAGCTTAATAAAATGGCCTGAATTCACTCTAAGAGTTTCCAAAGCAAGTCATACAGTTTTACAACCGTAAACATATAAAGTCACAAAAATCTAATTTTTACCCATCAGAAAGTATAAACAAGAAATTCAACAATTTCTCAACACAAGTTCTATCTGAAACACCAAATACTTGACTGACTCTCACCTTTACTCTCAGGTAAGTTAAAAGCAGTGTCTGAGATTCCAGCTCTTCCAGAGCATCAGAATTACGTCCCTTCAGAAAAGAAAAGAATATATTAGATCAAATTTAGTATTTAAACAATTATTTTTCCAATGTTCAAATAAATTACTGAAAGCCCAATTCTGACTGAAAACAAAATATTGAAAGTGCCCAGAATCATCATCAACAACAGTCAGCTCGATGAAAAAAGCTTGGGCTTCTAAACACACGTTAATTAAATATACCTCTTTGTTCCACCACTTTTCAAAACATTTTCAGCAGATTTTCATAATACTGGTAGAGAACTTGACGTTTCAGTGCTACATTGAATGAAATTCCTAAATAAGGCACATCAAATTAGGTTGAATCAATGTTAGTTTTCTGAGCAAAAATGTCAGAAAATATTTAAAGATAATGTGCTATAATGACAAAGTATGGGCAGGAATACAGAAAGAATCCACTTGAGGAGAGGCTGCAATTGGAGCAGATTCTTTACCACGTAAATGGAAGCAAAGCTTTGGTTGGTGTTGAGACATCTGATAAACATCACTAGAACAGACTTATCCTCTGACTTCTGCCAGAAGGCTTTAGATCATCCCAGGACTTCAAAGTTGTTATCAAGATTAAAGATAAGCAGAAAATCTTTATTCCACACATTTAAAAATAAATATGTTTAACAAATTAAAACAGTGAGACTCACCGCTGCTTTGGATTTTTGACGTGTCTTTGTATCTCCTATATGAGCAGATTTTGAAACAGGAGTCTTTTTGCGGACAGTTTTATCTGTATCATAACAGAAAAGTTATCACTCTCTTCCACTAAAGTATATAGGTGGGTCAACATACCATCAGGCTCTTCAAAGACCAAGATAATTTCTAAAGTATTATGTGTACCAGTAAAGAAGACTCGTGCTCTATTTCCGGCTCTCATGATACTCATGAGATGTGGCTCACATGAGCATTTAGCTTTAAGTGACAGCTACAGATCGATGCGATACTGTTTTCAGAAGGGCTGACGATCTAACACCCATCTGTTACAGAAACAAAGACTGGAGAGTACTTTGTTCTTTAATAGTTGATCTTAAACAAAAGGAACAGAGCACTCAAAAGATACTAAACATTGAGAGGTTAATTTAAACCCAAAAGGACTTAATACCTCTGCTTAAAGACACTTGAAATAACATTCACCTTATTTAACAAAATCCTTTTGCGACTATAAAAGAATACAAGGGTTCCTTGTCATCAAGTTACAGCACATACATTAAAAATAATAAAAGAAATTGAGTATGAGTGGAAGCTTACCATTAATAGCTGAAAGATCAAGGTCTGGTCGACTAATTTTATCTTCACCTAATAAAGTGGACTGCAAGTCACCTTTCTCAAAACTACTCTGATTTAATGAGCAAGTGACACCACCTGTAGAAAGAAACAGTTATCAAACTAAGAGAATTAGAATAGATTCTGCACAAGTTCACAATTACATATGCTTTCACTAATATCTGTCAACCTTACACAAGGTTTTACATGTTTACTTTATATATACCATTTGTGTAGTCCCTAACTCACCTAGAGAAAAGGTAGTTCAGAATCACAGAATGGTTTGTGTTGGAAGGGACCTTACAGATCATCCAGTTCCAGCCTCCTGCCATGGGCAGGGACACCTTCCACCAGACCAGGTTGCTTCAAAGCCCCATCCATCCCGGCCTTGAACACAGCCAGGGATGAGGCATCCACAGCTTCTCTGGGCAACCTGTTCCAGTGCCTCACCACCCTCCCAGTGAAGAACTTCTTCCTTACATCTAATCCAAATCCACTCTCTTTCAGTTTAACTATCATCCTCTTGAACGTTTCACAGTTCAACAACACTCAGATGTGAAAAGGGAATGATGTTATTTCCTCAGGATTTTCAAGTTAAGGTCTTACAAGAAAATTCTTTTCCAAAATAAAATGTTTTACAGATGGGATTTTCAGTCATTTACATGGGGTTTATTAAAAAGATTAAGTAAAAAAAGCAGAGCAACAGTTAAGGCGCAGTAAAAGAGTAGTCCAAAGCCTTGTGCAGAAGGCAAGAGATATGCTTATTTTAGAGAACTCAATTACTCAATTCCAGATTAGTTTGCTATCAGAACATCCAGACAAGAGTTTAATGCACTTGAGTTTCCACCTCTTAATCCCACATCGTTTCTTAATTCCCTTCGTATACAGATAATAACTGGCAGTGATGCAAACAATACAAAATATCATCTCTTAACAACATTTTAGAGTTGCTAAGGATTCCACAGGTTGGAAATACAAATTCACAGAAGAATAGGTTTGAAATTCTGGTAAAACCTACCAGCAGAAGTTTTACATTTCTGAGAAAGAGCTGATCTTGGTTTGGCTGCAGAAGATGTTTTAGTAACAGACGTTGAAAAGGAATTTGCTGAGGTGTCCTGACAATCACAAAACAAGTAAGACTGAACACGAGCAGTAATGGTGATCAGCAACATAGCTGCCCTCCAACTTGAACGCTGACAACAGCTACAATCCCAAGGCGCCTCGGTGCTTTACAAGCCACCCGACTACAGTCCCAAGTTCCCACCCCAGTCTGTACCTAGTAACACACCACGACTCCCTCATAACCCCAGCAGAGTCATTTTTTGTTTAGGTCTCGCTGCCACAATCCGAGCCGCCCCTCACACCATTTCCACCCTTTGCTGAGCGACGCCTGAGCCCAGCAGCGAGGCGTCCAAGTACCTTCTTGGTCTCTTTCTTATCGTACTGCAAGTACCGAGACTTCACGATTCTTCCTCCTGAAAAAGGAGCAGAGAGAGCTCAGCGGGGCCCGCAGCCCCGCTTCCCGCCT